GGAGGCAAGCTGTTCCACTGATTAATTGTTCTCACTGTCAGGAAGTTTCTCCTTAGTTCTAGGTTGCTTCTCTCCTTGATTAGTTTCCACCCATTGCTTCTTGTCCTGCCTTCAGGTGCTTTGGAAAATAGCTTGATTCCCTCTTCTGTATGGCAGCCCCTGAGATATTGGAATACTGCTATCATGTCCCCCCTTGTCCTTCTCTTCGTTAAACTAGACATACCCAATTCTCGCAACCGTTCCTTATATGTTTTAGCCTCCAGTCCCCTAATCATCTTTGTTGCTCTTCTCTGTACTCTTTCTAGAGTCTCAACATCTTTTTTACATCGTGGTGACCAAAACTGGATGCAGTATTCCAAGTGTGGCCTTACCAAGGCATTGAAGAGTGGTATTAATACTTCACGTGATCTTGATTCTATCCCTCTGTTAATGCAGCCTAGCACTGTGTTGGCCTTTTTGGCAGCTGCCGCACACTGCTGGCTCATATTTAAGTGATTGTCTACTAGGACTCCGAGGTCCCTCTCACAGTTACTACTATTGAGCATGGTGCCACCTATGCTGTACTTGTGCATTTGGTTTTTCTTGCCTAAATGTAGAACCTTGCTTTTTTCACCATTGAATTTCATTTTGTTAGTTAGTGCCCAGTGTTCAAGTCTGTCCAGATCCTTCTGTATCTGAAGCCTGTCTTCTGGAGTGTTGGCTATTCCTGCCAGCTTGGTGTCATCTGCAAATTTGATGAGTTCCCCATCTATCCCTTCATCCAAATCGTTGATGAAGATGTTGAAGAGTACTGGGCCCAGAACAGAGCCCTGGGGCACCCCACTACACACTTCCCTCCATATAGATGCAGTTCCATTGAGGACCACTCGCTGAGTACGGCCGGTCAGCCAGCTACGGATCCATCTGGTGGTGGTTCTGTCTACCCCACATTTTTCTATCTTGTCAAGTAGTAGGTTGTGATCTACTTTATCAAATGCCTTACTGAAGTCCAAGTAAATTATGTCCACAGCATTCCTCTGATCCACTAATTTTGTCACTTGGTCAAAGAATGCAATAAGATTTGTCTGGCATGATCTATTTTTGACAAACCCATGTTGGCTTTTAGTAATGACTTTGTTTGCCTCTAGGTGTTCGTTGATTCGTTGTTTGATTATCTTTTCCAGGATCTTCCCAGGTATTGAGGTCAGGCTGATAGGTCTGTAATTTCCTGGATCCATTTTTTTTCCTTTTTTGAGGATGGGAACTACATGTCCAGACACCAAAAAACATGGAAGAAAAAAAAGAGTTTTTGTAATTATGTTCCTTTCAGCTCTGGTTTATGGCCAGTTCAGCTCTTTAAGAGAGCACCTGGCACCTGGCAGTGCAGACATACTCATTTCAGAGGCATTTGTGGAAAGGAAAGTTGAAAGGTGAAACCTGAAGTATATTAATTTTGGTTTTTAAGGGCAGGAGATGAGAAGGCTGCTACGTACCACGTCCAGCAAAGTTGGTGCTAGCAAAGTTCAGAAAGAACTGAGTCATCCTCTCTGTTGAATTTATTGAAATTCCATAGTTCTTTTTGTGAGGATCCATGAAATCCTATACAATTTAGATCCAGCAAGCACGGTACAAAAAAAGGTGTTGGGACTCTCGAAATACTAGCTATTGGTCTTTAGAAATTCAGAAGGAGATATTGGTTCCAATATTAAAAGCTTTCTCTGTAGCTGTTCCTTAGTTGTAGAACTTCCTGCCGTCCAAAATTAAGGTAACTATTTTTTTTATTTCTTTCTGTTGAAAAAGGTTTTTTTTTTTTTGTTCTGGCAACATAACATTCTATTTAGAAAGGTATACTCGATAGACAGTGTTGTTTCATTAGTGTGCTTTAATTTGTGCATTAATTATGCTTTGAATTTTGATTTTTTAAAAATGATTTGATTGTTTAACTACTTACTATTAGCTTTATTGGGTAGTGAAATTGCTAGTGAAAAAAATGAGCATAAATTAAATAGATAATGGTTTCATTAGTAGACAGTTGTGCAACAGTGAAACTTTTTTTTTTAATACCACTACAGTTAGAATGCCATGATCTACCAAATATGGGCATGAGTTAGAACCTTTGCTTCCACTCCCCTATGACACTGGATACACGGGAACAACACAGCAAGTTCTCCTGCAGTGCCTGTATTACACAATCAGGCGTACCAGTCTCATCCTACCATTGGTACCATTAAATATCCAGGACACACAAGACATTTCTACACCTCCCTGCTGTTTCCAGATACTAACCCTGTTACAACACATAATGTTGCCAGAATCTGCACCACAGCCCTTAAAATCCATCAGATTTTAGATCAAACCTGTGCCATAAACTAGGCTTAATGAGCAATTAGTCTGTTATTTGAGACTGTTCTGCACTGTGATGCATTTAGATGATATATTAACTTTTATGCTTCCCTATATACATCTAGTGTTCCTACCCCTCCCTTTAGGTTATTTTTTAGAATCTTGTTTTAGGTATACTTTTTATATCTTTCAGTTTTTTCAAAAATAGATTTTGATGTATCTTTTATATGTACTTTTCATATCATCCCTCTCTCTTTATACTGGTCTCTGACCGTATTAAAGATTTGATCTGATTTGCTTCCACAATTTCCACAATAGTCTTCTCCATTTGATAATCTTCCATCTGAGAAGATTATTCACTAAATACACCATCTATGCACTTTCACAGTACAATAATATGCCACTTTAGTTTAGAGTTAATGGTGATGTAACTAAGACTGAGAAGTAGTGAATGGTTCAGGCATAACACCAACAGGTAATGAAAGAAGATGAAGAGTGCTGAAAATCCTCAGAAACTCAATGAGAAAGACGTTCTCTGAACATGACTTCAGTCTAAGTCTTTCTAGTCCAAGCTGAATGTTTGGCTATCACAGGAGTTTTCAAACGTGGCCATTTTATGACTCATGGACTTCAACTCCCAGAATTCCTCAGCCAGCGTGCCTGGCTGAGAATTCTGGGAGTTGAAGTCCATGAGTCATTAAAGGACGGAGTTCGAAGACTCCTGGGCTACCTAATATCAAGTACACACCATACAGATTATACTAAGCTCTAATGTGATTTGCCTGATTTTAAGAATGTAGCCATTATGTTTTGCTAACTATGGTTTATGATAGAAAGTGCTATCTGAGTTATGCTATATTCAACAACCATGACTTAAGTCAGGTCGTGAACTTAGCCATAGTGTTGGGATAGAAAAACTGGCATCCAGATAGTGTTGCATTATAATAAACATCTTTCCTGACTATTAATTCATCTGTCTACAAGGGCTGATTAAAGGTGAAGAACAACAGTTTTTGGAGAATTAAAAAAAGAACTTTATCTTTAATGCAGAGGATCCTGGGAACTGCACTAGGAAATCCTCTGTAAACTGTTATTATGTTATTCTGAAGAGGAGGAGATAATACAAAACTCTAGCTGTCCTGTCATGAGCTGTGGTGGCACAGTGGTTAGAATGCAGTATTGCAGTCTAATTCTGCCGACTGCTAGCAGTTTGATTCTCACCGGCTCAAGTTTGGCTTAGCCTTCCATCCTTCTGAAGTGGGTAAAATGAGGATGCAGATTGTTGGGGGCAATACGCTGACTCTGTAAACCACTTCAAGAGGGATGTAGAGCACTGTGAAGCGGTATATAAGTCTAAGTGCTATTGCTATTGCTATCTAGCAGTGATCCAGATTTTTGCAGTCCATATGTGATAGCCCTAAGTGATCGTAATATCCAGCTTTCTAGTTCTCCCAGGCAGATGAGATGTATCTTAGCACTAGCAGTGGCATTTCCCCCCTTAATTATTACTCTTTTCTTTTCTTGCAAGCTTGTAGAAGGAAGCTTGCAAATAGGTGATGTCATCTGAGTCCCTCTATATTTCCATGAATGAAATGGTTGCATAATCAAAAATCGTCTGAAAATGTCTTTTGTTTATTTGCTCTGTTGCTTTTAGATTGCTCTAGGGCACAGCATTCAGAGACATCTAATGGTTGCTAAAAAATATTACAAGTAAAAAGATTGCCATACTTGATAACTTTCAGCTGGATATTTGTGGGTTCCCCCCTCCCTCCTAAATAAGGTATAACCCCACATCTGTGCACTTGCAATGTCCTTGATTGGGAAACAGAAAGAGGTTGCAGCTTGGCATGACCAGCAGTAAAAAAAGACAGCATTGATGTTCTCTCCTGCTGTTTAAGGAATGGAGCATAATCACACTGGAAAGATTAAAAAGCTCCATGGGCTGAATTCTGCAGAGAACTCCCTGCTAGGAACTCTGCATTTCCAGGACTGTGTTCATACAATGTCTGTGGAAAATGCTTTTCAAGCCAATTGTGTGACAATAGAGCTTTGGACTTTAAGCCTCTGCATGGTATTTTCAGCTTCTGCTGTTCCTAGACTTCTCTACACAAGGTTTAAAAAAAAAATACCAGGAAATCAATTTAGCTTTATTAGCTTCATCTTGCTACTGGATAGGATACTATCTCTAAATATAAATTTTCCTTTTTTGGCATTATACTCCAACCTTAGTTCACATGCATTTCTTAGATGAGCAACAAAGATTAAAAAAACACCCCCATCCGATGCCAGCCTAGTGCAATTAAGAGTCTACAGTCATTCATGAGTACACTCTTCCATTCTCTTCCATCCAGAATCTACAGCAGGGTTGGTCACTTGCAGGCTACATGTGTGCCCCCCTCAACTCGTTTCCACTTTGTGCCAATTTTCAGCAACAATAGTAATTATCCCTTGCTGTTCCTATGCTAATTTTGGCTTGCATGATACGCTGCTTTGTAGTAATAAAAATAATAATAAAAAGGATGTCATCACAAATGTTCTCTGCGCTAATGTGTGGGGGTGAGGGGAATTGTTCTAAATCAGCCAGCTTCTAAAAGAAGCTTCTTCTTAAAAGACAAGCTGCACCTTCATTTCTTTTCTTAATGCCAATTCTCATTTCCTTCTTTCCCTTTTATGGTCAGACACTGCAAGAAACATTCTCTCCAATTCCATGCCCAGTTTCACAGAAAAGAAGAAGGAACACGGGGCGTGTTGTGACATGGTACTGGTCTGTACACCTACAGCGACCTATCCATCTCAGGCCAAGTAGAGAGTTTCAGGTAATTAGTGTCACAGACTGAAAATGGATTGGGAGAAGGGTTGGTATTCAGTAGCAGAGAACAGATATTACATACTTCATGTCTAGCAAACATCCAGTCTATAACCCCAGAGAGACACTGTTGTTGACAATGCTGGGCTAGAGAGACACATTGACTCAGCTGGATTAAAAGCAGGTTAGTAGAGAAATCATCATAGAAATCTGATGAGATGAAGATAATGGGATTTAGTTATTTTAGAATACAGGCTATCTAAGAAGATTTTATGAACTTGTCCTAAGGAAAGGTGGAACAAGGAAATGCGTTGTAAAGTAGTTGTGCAAATAATCCCTTTCTGTGTTCAGATGTAGTTCATCCTGTAGCTTGGAGGGGGAACATGGCCCCAATCTATTGCAAGACTCTGTTGAATGGGTGGAAAATGGCCATCATATATAACACACTGAGCTCCTTGACAGAAGAGTAGTATATCAATAGAATAAGATAGTAACAAAATGATTCTGTGCCATGTCCTGTTAGAGGGCTCTTCTCTGCATGTAGTTTAATAAACAAGTAATTGAGGTTTGCTAGCAAGTGCTATCTCTGTTGTCATGACAACCTATGACTTGTGAAATAAAGCGTGGGAAAACAGAGGGGCCAAGTGCTGGCTGAATTGTTAAGAACATGAGAAAAACCTACTGGTTCAAACCAAGGATCTATTTTATTCAGTCTATCCTTACAATGGCCAGCCAAAACATCCTGGGAATCCCACTAGTGGAAAATGAAAGCAATAACTTGCCACTTAAATTTCTCAGCAATAGGGGTCCAAGGGTACACTTTCTCTGATCCTAGAATGTCATCATGCCTACTAGTCAGTGATAATGTTAACAATCAATAACTGATCTAGCCTCCTTTCTAAAAGGAGCAAGCTATGGAGTACGTTCAATTAATATGTAGCAAGAGCAGATGGCCGCATCTAATCAACTGTAACTGTAACTGTAACTAATCTTTCTAAGTTCCTAATAGTGAGGACAATTAACCAGTGGAATGGTTTGCCATCAGAAGTTGTGGTTGCTTCATCACTTGAGGTCTTTAAGAAGAGATTGGACAGTTACTTGTCTGAAATGGTATAGGGTCTCCTGCTTGAGCAGGGGTTTGGACTAGAAGACCTCCAAGATCCCTTCCAGCTCTATTCTGATTGGTTGATTAATCTACAAAAGTTAAGCTGGATCAGACTTGATTAGTACTTATAAGGGAAACCAAATCCATATAATAGGATAGACTGGGAAGTTCAAAAAACATATTAGAAAGCAATGGAAAGGAAAACTATATAGATATGTACTTAATGCAGAAAAATTGTAACATACTATGAAAAGATTTTCTACATTAGATTGTGGTCCTTCTGAATCAATATTTCCACAAAGACCAACCAGAGTTCTTCAAAAATTCCTGTGTGGGAGCCAATAGAAACACATTTCTTGTATTGATGGCTCTTGACAAAGTGTATTCTGTAACATGCCACTTCTAAACATGAAGGCTCCATTTAACTATACTGTAGCATTTATTATTTATTGAGATCTTCCTTGCATTTCTCTGTTCCCTTTCCAACTGTCTAAGCTATTGGCCATCTTGTACCAGGAAATTCCATAACTGAATCTGTGTTGTGATTCCCTTCCTTCCTTCCTTCCTTCCTTCCTTCCTCCCTTCCTTCCTTCCTTCCTTCCTTCCTTCCTTCCTTCCTTCCTTCCTTCCTTCCTTCTGCCAATTTATTGAGTGACATCAAGTTCTAATTTGGGAAGAGAACAAATATAGACAATTTCCCCCACACAATTGATAGCATAAACCCCAAGCATTTTAGCTACTGCCAATATAAATTCTACATTATGTTATCTCAGGTAAGCAGAGAATTTGTATCTCAGACAGAAAATGGGAGATGACTAATGCTGTTTATATGAGATGAGGGCTGAAAGAATTCCTTGCAGTTACATCATTGCTCCCCCCTGCTCAGTTCAAAATAAGGCCTCTGCTCAAACAAAGCTGCCAGCAAGAACGCCATTCAGTCCTTTAAGGTGCCATGAGATTCTTTCATGTATACTTTGAATAGCTCTTTGTAGAAGGTTTGTCTAGAGATGTTCCCTAGCATTTAACAAATCATGCAGACATTACTATCTCATCTATAATGATGGCAGCCCAATCTGTAGAAGAGATATACTTTTATTTCCTTAGAACTCTTGTGTAGCTCCCAGACATTATGCCAAGTTTAAAGCTGAACTCCCCAATTGATCCTAAGTCACAGCTCTGTTTATGTGGAACTGGACATTGTGATGTTAGAAGAAGTGAGAGCATTTCTCTGCATGTCTTTGATGGAATTTTCTAAAGCTACTGCATGTTTGATGAAATTGCTGCCTTTCAACCAGCCAATACCTTAAGAAGCGGTTATAACCTACTTGTTACTAGTAATCTTTTAAATTTCCTTAGATTTCCCAACTCTCTATAGCAAAAGAACCAAAGCAGTTCTTCATTCAATGTGTTAACTGACCTTTGTGAATTCTCATCAGTTTATTTCACAGATATCTCGGATATTTAGGGCTGCACTGCATCATCTTAACTTCTTTGGAGGCCTCGGAATTGAGGAAAGGACTTTCACTCTTCCTCTTTTTCTTCCTCCTCCCTCATGTACTCTAGCACAGAGGTCCCCAACTTTTTGGGCACCAGAGACCAGTTCCATAGAGAGAGGTTCTTCCGCGGACCGGAGGGGGCATGGTTTCGTGTGCTGCCTGCATCCTGCGGATGGAGCGTTGCTTGTTTGCATGGACTGGCTTCTGGCATGCCGCAGCCCAGTGCCGGTCCACAGACTAGGGGTTGGGGACCCCTGCTCTAGCAGCAACCAAGGCAACACCAAAGTGCATGCACCATTGCCATTGCCATTTTTCAAGCAGGCACTGCAGGCATGGATCCTAAGAGTGTTAGCTCTTCTAGATCCTTGACAACAGGAGGACAGTTATTTAAAGCTTCATGTCTTTCCTGATCCTCAAGGAGCCAGGCTTATGACTTGGAAAACTGCCATTCTTGGTCATTATTGATACGAAGAATGCTTTCCCTTGTTTCTGTTTCCCAACTGGGGAATCTCATCCTAGGACTGAGATTTCAAACAAGTGAGAAGAATGATAGGCTGATATTCTGTAAATTACCAAGTTTCAAAACTTTGGTTTTGAACAATCCAGCAAGACTACTAGTGCTCTGACAAATCAGCCATCAATAGACACATACACATTAACAATATTTATATACTATGCAAAAGAGACAATCAACCAGCCAAAAAGGGAAGCACCCTTTCACCAGCAATCAGCACCCAGCTCGGCATAGATTAACTCCAAGGTTAACATCAGACCAACAATCAAATAAACAACACCCTAATCAAGAAATTGCCAAAGAAGCCAACAGTAAACAGCCCAACCAAAGAACCTCTAAGACCATCCCCCACCTACACTGACAGGGCAAGGCACCAGAATATAAACCGAGAGCAAACTGCACTCCTTACTAGTACTGATGATGTTACCTAGTTTGGGTAATGAAACAGCTGCAAGAAAACAAGCAAGGTTAGAGAGCACCAGGGACTCCTCATGTCAATCCTGAGCTACACATATTTTTCTTTATTAGTACCTATATCACTCAAGGTACAAATATATTTATTACTCATAGAACCACTCATTACTGTTGTGGATGATGAAACTGAAGATTCATCAAAAGTTTATCCTATTACTTATTTTTGCTTCTGTGGTCGCAAGTTAAGTTGTTTCCAATTTTTTATTTTACCTTTGCCATCCGTCTGGTAAACTCGCAAGATTCATTTTTCTTGCCAGGCACATGTATACATAACCTGAGCTAGACTGTTGTTTCTCATATAATATATGTGGGTATGTGCATAATTCTGTATTTGTTTATTTATTTGTTTGTTTGTTTATTTATGTCATATTTATGTAGTGTATATTGGAGGTGGTGACCCTTTGAGAACTGTATGCTGACAATAAAGTTATTCTATTCTATTCTATTCTATTCTATTCTATTATATTCTATTCTACATATAAGCATACATACAAAGACAGAGAACATAATTTGTCTGGTCCTGCATTTTTATGAAGATCCTTTAAGGCTAGAATGAAATATCAATAGGTGTTACAAAATGGCAGAATACAGCATGTGTTGAAGTCTGGCGATCTAATGAGGCTTCAGCCTAAAATATCTTTATACTTGAAGCTAATCTGTTACAGCAAATCTATATTAAAATAGTTCTCTGACATCTTAAATACTACTGCTATTTAGTATTTGCAGTAAAGTTGAAATTCCCTGAGGTAAAATGAAGACAGGCCTTTGCCAACCCAGGTGGCCTATCAAATTGGTCTTGAAAGGGAATTGCTTCAGAGCACTGTATTTAAAGTCCTGTGGATTGTATGGAGTGTGAGGAGCACAATTGCTGGAGTAGAGTCAGATAATAAAGGCTATTCTGCCATTTGTAGCAAATGAAAAAAGCAGGCCAGGCACCAAGATATTGAGGAAACTTCTGGAGTGACATAACAGTCCCTAATCTGGCCTTGCTGGGTCTGTTAATATTCCAGGGCATTCAACTCCCCCCAAAAGTGTCTGCATCCTGTTGTGTCTTTTCTGTTGGTCAAACAAAAAGCAGTAGTGTCAGGAATAGGTGCTTAGGCTGATTACCTGACTAGAACTTCTAATGAACTATTTTTTTTTTCCTTTGATGTGCTTGAGTGGCCAATGTCATTTGAAAACAGGTGTAACATCATCCAATACAGTGGTGAGATTAGAGCCAGTTCGCACCACTTCGGCAGAACCGGTAGCTAATTTTTTGTTGCTCGGCCCAGAATGGACTTCCAGAAGTGGCATCCACACAGAGAACTGGTTCTTCACATATTTGAATCCCATCACTGATCCAATATCTTTTTAATGGCCCCCCCATTGTACAGAATATAGCACACAAACTATTGGTGGGACTCCAATCATCAACTCAT